GCCATTTGGACAGGACAATAAAAACCATAGCTGATTAGCTCCAGGAATTAGTCTCAGCTGCTTAATGCAACTTTTAACCTCTTGCAAAGACTTTTTCAAATTCCACTGAATCACAATCAATGGGCTGCTTAAGGCTAGATTTTCTGCTTCCTGTCGTTAACAAATGTTGAAAATTAAACAGAGGCTTAACAATAGGTTTGAAGCCAATTATAATTTCTGCTTTTATAATAAAAGAGTATAAAGAAAAATACAACAATAAAATAATAATAAGGACATGGAGTACATTTCTACAATGTTTTAATTGTTGTCACTCTTAATAAAATATATGTTTTTTATGTACTACTATATCCTTATTCAGAGCAATGTATACAAAGTCAGCATTACAGTATGTATAAGAACAGGCAAAACAAATATAAAACAAAAAGTTTAATTAAGAAATTAGAAAATATATGTTAATATATATATAAAATGACAAAAGTGCAACTCAGGTGACATGAAAACAAAACACAAAGGAGGCGACTAAAAGGTTATACTGATAGTGTAGTACAGAGCAGTTATGTAAACACCCTGTGGGTGCATATTCTAGGTTAACAGTGAGTAAGTGCAATTAACTAATTACATTACCAGCTTGAGAATTAAAAAGTGCAACACAGTGGAAGGCTAATGAACATGCTGCCAAGATCTTAGAGGCCACATATGCTGCCTAAACAGATTATTCTTAAGAAAAGATCACTTTATTGGCCATATACAATTTCTTGTATGAGGAATTTGTCTTTTCGCATACCCCAGCTTGCTCACCATGAGACACACAGACAGAGAGAAGCCTGGGGTCAGAGCGCAGGGTCAGCCATTTATACAGCACCCCTGGAGCAGCTGGGGTAGGAGCCACCACACCACCCCCCATTCTTAAGCAGGCACCTAAAGGTGGTCCTGGGACCGAGCAGTGCTGGTTTCTATGGGTATCATAGGTATAAACCAAATTGGAGATTGTGTGAGGAGTTTATGGACATATAATGGACTGTACAGACAGATCTTGGGGCTTATGACAGTTTCAGGAACATTACTAATGACTGTTCAGTCCCCACCCCCCCAAAAAACAAGAACTGTAGAATATACAAATAATTTAAAAAAGACATTCCCACCTTAAGGTAGACCAAACTGTCAATCCAATCACAACATAGTTCCTGCAAACTTTCCTGAAATCAGTCCACATTGCACATCTTGAAATTGTAATTCAATAACTTCACATTAAGCGCACTGTCCTTCTGCATGTGCATGACAGCCGAATCAGAAACATTTGACAACCTGAAACCTGCTCCATTTCCCCATGCAACATACTGTATGAACAGCTGTTTTGGGACTAACTGTATACTGTGCACAAATGCTAAAAATTAGCATTATCCTAGAACATCCATCACAGATAAATTTACTCTTGGACATAGTGTCAGCATAGATATGGTACATGATGGAATTTTGACTTAATAGTGGGACAGATGTTGAATCTTATTTGTAACGTTTGTCATGTTTGACCCAGTCCTTCCTTGTTTTTGTAGCCAATTTATATGGACATTTTTTGGGGGGTAATGGGTTGTTCCATAGATTTGTGCTTGACAGAAACATTTATTCTTTTCAGGTAAGAGTCAGCAAAAAATTAAGTAATTTAAACACTTTCATATGTATTATTACCACAGAAGGTGAATTACTCCATGGGCATTCCTACATTAGCAATGGTTCAATATAAGTCTCTATGGAATAAAAACCTGAAGTAAGAAGTTTGGAGGTAGAGTGTGTCCCCCAGCTCATCCTTGTGGCAGAGGAATAATAATGAAATACTCCACTCTAAGGCAGTTGTAACTTACCTGTGGCTCTTGGCTTATTGTACTTTAAATTGTACTAGTTGTACTTTTTAATTAATCGCCTTATTATTTTTGCACTGTTCGCCAAATTACTTTTGCACTGTTTTTGTCCTCTTCGTATACTTTTCTCTGCTTATTTGCACAGTTTTGACAATTTTGCACTGGCACCATACTGTTGTCTACACTGTTATCTTTATTGTATTACTGTCTATTGTCTTGTCTGCTGTACTATTTATATACTGCACCTGAGAGACTAATGAGAAACAATTTTCACTATACTATGCACCTGTGTTAAGTATAATGACAAATAAAGCTGAATTGAATTGAATTGGACCCCTGGTGGTTTTTGAAGCTACTGCTGGTAGCTAGTATGTCCCCCCAGCCCAACTAAAATGAACATTATCCAACATCACATTCTCTCCACCACACTTACCTGTGGTGGTACACCTCCTCCCTGCATACCTGTTTTTATTGGTTCTCCTCTTTCTTCAAGATGGCGCCATGTTAGTGGCAGCCTGCTACAGCAGCTCCGTGTCTTTTTGTTGTCTTTTTGTTTCTTTCAGTAATTCGTTACACTGTGGCTGTGTTGTGTGTGTTAAGCTGCTGTTGCACTGCAATTTCCCTCACGGGATCAATAAAGTATCTATCTATCTTGCGTCTCTCAACATGACACTGCCTGTCTTAGTACATTGATATTGTTCATTGTTATAAACCCACCACCTGTCTACTAGGCCCCATTCATTCGGTTTTATGTCAGTCCTGTTTTCCAGCCTTCTGTGGTCCTGTCCTCAGCATGATGAGTCCGTGAGCACTGGAGTGACACCAATGGCTTTACAAGTGGCATCAGTTACACCTGTGCCTAAAAAACCAGAACCTCTGGACAACCTAAATTATTTATTCTTTTCCTATATCCAACTCACCTAAATTTAGAAAGTTCTGATGCAGTACATTTTACAATCACCTCGTTGCAAACAGTCTCTTTGAACCCCTCCAATCTAGTTTCAGACAATAACACTCAGACAATAACCATGTTAAAGTTACTTCTTATGGCAGCTGATTCTAGTACTCCTTCTATCCTAATTTTGCTTAAGTGCTGTTTTTTAAACTGTAAATCATGACACTTTACTCTCTTGTGTTGAGACTGTTTGGAGTTCTAACATCGCTCCTAAATAGTTCAACTCGTATCTTACTGATAGGTGAAAAGTTTTGTTTCTCTTGGGGGTTTTAGTGAAGTACTGAAGTTGTGGGTCAATAACTCTGGTGCTCCCCGAGGCTCAATACTGCCCCCCCGCTCTTCAGAATTTACATGTTCTTACTTGGTCAGATATTTAACTCGTATGGTCTGAATGATCATTTCTATGGTGATGATATCTATCCATACGAAATCTAACCCTTAAGTTGCTGTTCCGGCACTCCCTAATTGCATCTCGGATATAAAATCAGGATGACTCAAAATGTCCTTCTCAAACTGCAACAAAACTGAGGTCATGCTATTCAGCACCTCCCATCACCTATGTAAAGCCAATACATTAACCCTTTCTGTGGATGCCACTGTGCTTGATTTTCAAACACAATTGAAGAATTGTGCCATTTTGCCAAAGTGACCCACCAACATGGTCTCCACCAGTCCTTAAAAACAGCCATTAAGGTGAACTACAGTATGTCTAATGGGCAAGAAGGCAGAAAAAACACCACATAGTGCAAATGTATTCTCCCATAGCACCATTCACACATCGAAGAGCACTTTCCCAGCACTCAAAGCAAGGCATATGCAAAACCATATTCAGTGACAGTCACAAAAGGCACATCTTAAAGGCTTTCAATTTCCTTTAAAATCAATCTCAGGGCATGTTTCTGTAGCAGGGCACAGCTAAAAACAAAATTGTATTAAGTTCCTCAAAGAAAGGGAGAATATGGTTTAAGTCAATT